TATCAACTTTACACTATAGATTGATTTTGATGATAGTTAAGACCCATAAGACCGGTATTAACGCATGTAAAACAAATCTAGAAATTTGTAAAATAGCCACACTTGTTAAAAATAATAGGGTTTCATAAAAAAGAACATTTGCTGAAAGTTTTTGATACTCCATGGAGAAGAATGCCAAGGCCGGAAACAAGCTCATTCTCTACTTCACAGTCTGACGTATAACATCTCCTCTTACTACGTATTATTGGGTAATTTCCTTCTTTAACACAAGATGAGCTTGAAAAACCTCACCATCACATGCAACTATATGTTGGCAGAATTCAAAGCGAAACACATATTTTGTCTCTACTTGAAATTTTAATCCCTTTTCATGATTTTTATTAATTTTTCAAAACTTATCCGCAACTAGAAACACGGCATTAATGTTTGATATCGAGATTCTGAGTACTAAAGGGGACATATTACTTAGCAAAGCAAAGAGTACGTATCCGATTAGCATCTCAACGTTGCAGTAGGAAATAAACTGGCTCTAAAAATATATTTCACATCATGATTTATGCTTGACCGCGAGTAAAAAATCCAAATCGATAATACATCAATTATCGTGCCGATATTGCATTAACTCATACAAGATTATAGTTCAACATAATTAACCTAGCTATTAGCATTCTAAATCCTGAAGATGATAGATTTTAGAAAATATCATGTTGGCATGATATTAAGTAAGATGATAGTCATTATTTACATTTATTGGCATGATCATGATGCTCTGATCATATTCTTCTCAAGGGATATTTTTGTTGTTCTTGGATTTGGCATTGGATGAGTGGAATTTACAATTTACCCTTAAATCTGTCCAATTTGATGGTTGTTGGTTTGTCTTCTATTATGAAGATGAAACTAAGGAATGGAGGGTTTTGAACATTGTTATCTCATCTGATTTGGGTCTAACCCAGAAAAGAATTTTACCACCAAGTTATCAGCTCAAGGGTCATTAGATTAACCGGAATTTATCACTTTTTGTCCCAGGTGACATTTCTTTTTTATAAGTAAAAATCTTTCAATTTTTTTAATTAGATCAATATCAAAACTAATTCAAATGAAAATTCAACTCAATTTAGACTCTAGATTGCAAGTTTCATGGTTAGAAGTTTGCCGGATGAATTTTGCTGGTACATACAAATTTAATAAGGAATCTCAAAAAGCATCTTGGTACCTTTGGTTTTTCTTTGGGATTCTTCTGGTTGTTGAGGTTTTATATATATATGCATATATAATAATTTCACCTTTTGTCTTTTTGGGATTCTTCTGGTTGTTGAGGGTTTATATATATATATATAATAATCGAGTGGCTGTAGAGGGTTTTTTTTATCTTTTTAAACCATACCTGCATTTGTATGGTTGTAGTTCCCTAGAGAGAAAGTGCTTGTACTTCGAGTCAAGAGTATAGTTATAAAACCGACTTGAAGGTTGATTCAGCTAAGGAGTTAGGTTTTTTATTATATAAGTTAACTTGAATTAATAAATAAAAATTTATTTATTAGAAATTTATTTTAATTTGTTTTTATTTTATGATATTTAATGATTGTATACAGATTGTTGGAATTTTTTTGTTATTTATTTATTTTTTAATTTTGTATATACCAAAAATAAAAATTATTTTAAAATAATAAAAAAATAAACAAAATATTAGCCATCATAAATTAAAAATAGCTAAGATAATAATTAGGATAAATAAATAATTTTTAATATAAAATATTGATGCTCCATAAAATCAAAAGAAGACGAACACTTTTGTTTCCATGTAAAGAGTGCCACGTTGTTGGAGGAAATTTCCTACTTTCCTGTTCGAAGGAAATCTTTGTCTCCTCGTAGACCAATATGGCCAGAGTCAGCAAGAGCAGGAGAGACATGGTAGCTCTAAAGTCTGCATTAACTTGATAAAACTAAATGCAGCAAATCAAGGCCTTATGACACTACTCGGATAAATATGTTTGTTTGTTTCTTGACTTGGAAATTCTAATTAAAATCAATTCATTATTTATTCATGGCCTTCCATTTTTTGCTTAATTTGATTGTCTTTAGCTTGTTTTCAACCTTGTTCTTACAAAATCTTCGGAACCCCATTTCTGATATGCTACTATTATGAACTTGTTCTTTCGTGTTTAATGACTACCAATTAATTAAAGATTGGATCATATATAAAATCCTCTCAGAAAGAGTAAAAAAGGATGAAGATATATATGTATATACAAGTGAACTGGTTTTCTCTACGCTATCAACTATATTATCAACTATATTATGTTTGTTTTGCATGAAAAGCAAATGATTAATTTTTTTAATTATATTTATTTTTTATTTGTTATTTTTTTATAAATATATTTTATGAACAATAATTTTTTTATATAGGTTATGATTCTTGAACCAGGTTTGATGGATTTTTTTTTGTAAAAATAAATATTTGGATTAATGGCCGTAAAAAAAAATGCATAGTTTATGATAGCTGATTCCAATACGTTATAGTTATAGTATGTTGTTTTCAATAATTTTTTTAAAATTATTATTTTTCTGAATTTTTTTTTCATGATATATATAAATTTACGGTTGGAAATAAGATTCTAAGGTTTTTTTCATGGGAAGCGAAGTCATGCCTGTGGCAATAATAATAATAATGATGATGTTTTCCGTCCGAGGTAGGCTCGAAAAGCTAGCCATCCTGGTCGTACAAGTCAGGCACGAACGGCCTCACACTCACCTTCTTGGAGGACTCATTTGGTTGCTCTGGATTTTGACCGATCAGGACTGGTAGAATTTACAGTTTTCTCTCAAGAGTCCGTCCAGTTATATGGTTGTTGGTTTGTCTTCCAATGAGAAGCAAGCTCAAGGAATGGCTAGTTTTAAATTCTCAAGAGTACTCTACCCTGGAAAGGTCTGATTACTTGTACCATCTTTTTCACACTAACGTCCAAAATCTATGGTTGTTGCATTGATTTGTCACAGCGTTAACAAGATAATTTATTTTCGAATTATAATAAAATATTTAGATTTTGTTAGTATTTTTTTAATTAAAAAAATTAAATTATATAGAAATTGAGTTAATACATCTTGATTTATTTAATAGGTTCAAAAACAATCTACATAACTACTAAAAATATAATTTGACTAACAATAATTTTAAGCATGCATGTTTTTCAATATTATGATGATAAAATATTAAATTGATTTAGATTAACCCGAGTTAATATATTAAATTTATCACTCGAATTATAAGACTATATAATATCATACAAAGCAAATTGAAAAAGAATTATGAAGTTCAACTTAATGCTGAATTAAGTTAGAAGATCGAGATAATCCTATAGAAATTAAATCGAAACAAATTACAAAATTCAATTCTCAGTCAATCTAATATTGAAGGGTAAGATTTAAAAAAAAATTAAAAAATAACCAGAGTCAATATACAAAAACCCGTGACCTGGATTATGAGACAAAGATAATATCATAAAAAAATAAAAAAGATAATTCAATTTAACCCAAGTTAACCTGTCAAATTCACAACTTTTATCATGAGACTGAGATAACCCTATAAAAATCAAATCAAACAAATCATGAAGTTTAATTTATAACCAACTCAATGTTGAATGATGATATTTAAAAAAAATAATTAAAAAATAACCTGAATCAATACAAGTTAAACCGGTAAGCAATATTCTTAAGTCATAAGGTTAGGATAACCTAATAAAATCAAAATAAAACAAAACAAAACATGGAGTATAATTCTAATCAACCAAATATTAAAGGATGAATTTGGGGGAGTCAATTAAGAAAAAAAATCAACTCAACTGAGTTAACCCACCAAACTTACGACCTGAATCATGAGACTAAAATAACCCATTAAAAAATAAAATTTAATGTTGAAGGTCCCATGAATCGACTCATGAGACCAAGATAACCTTATAGAAAGAAAATAAAATAAAAACGACATAATTTAACTTGTTAAACTTGCAATCTTGATCATAAGATTGAGATAACCCCCATAGAAGTCAAATCAAAATAAATAATGAAGCTCAATTCTCAATCAACTCAATATTGAATAATAAAATTAAAAAAAACATCAACTAAAAAAAGATACACAAAAAGTAACCTGAGTCGACTGAGATTAACCTGCTAAGTACAATCCCTAGGTAATGAGATCGGAAAACCCAGTAAAAAGCAAATTAAAATAAATCATGAAACTTAATTCTTAATTAATTAAATATCAAATGATAAAATTAAAGGCGAGTGAACAATTAAGAAAAGAAAAAAAACTTAAGTAAACCAAGTTAATCAACCAAACTAGCGACCCATATCATAAGAGTGGAACAACCCAATAAAAAATAAATTTAATCACAAAAGATGAAATTAAAAAAAAATATTAATTAAAAAAAATCAAAGAAAAAAATAAAAAAAATTATTTCAATGAATAGTATTTTATAATAAGGGGTATAATAAAAGGCATTACTTTTTCTTTTTGTTAATTTATTAGACAAAGTACTCCGATGGTTGTTGGTAGAAAAAATCATTTATTTTTGTGTTTGAAATTATATTTGGTTGTATTTTAAAAATATATCTGATATAAAAAAATATTAAATTAATAATTTTTAATAATTTTAATATACTGATACAAAATAAACACATGAACCACCAAAATTTGAAATCAAGACCGACATTATATGAAATAAAAGGAGGTTTTTTCTTTATTCATTTTAACTGGCTAGAGTATAAGGTGGTAGTAGCATCAGATTATATATATATATCAAAACGCCTAGAGTGCCCACAAGAAATTAATTATAAATCTTAACTGCGTTTAGATTGAAAACGAAGATTAATTTGATTGTTTTTTTTTAATATTTTTCCATAATTTCGATATTTTCATATAAAAACATTTAAGAATATTTGAAATAGACATCAGTGGACTAATAATCACACCCTTACACTGCTAATTGCTATTAAACCAGCACAAATTCACTCGTAACAAAAGAGTTAATTAATTAACTAGTCACAATGACATTACACATAATTCATCAAAAAAAATAAAAATACATCAAACACAGAAAAGGGCCCCCCCTACATATTAATTATTTCAAGTACCATTACAATGGCCTTTTGGTGTTCAACAATCCAGAAATAGCAAACAATAGCAATAAACTAGCTAGAAACAGACTCTGATCATACTGCTGGAGGATGTTGTAGCTTGTTAATAGGATAAAAATATGGAAGTAGCAAGAATCCCTAGAATCAAGTACAAAAACCATCCAGGAATAATTTGTAGCCGTAGTGCTGAAGAAGGAGGAGGGGCACTAGGAACGTGCTGGCACTTGTTAATTCCATACCATTCACCTTCAGGAACGGTGGTTGAATTGAAGAAAAACACGGCAGGAGTTGAAAATGAACCATAAATCTCCACACTTTGTGGAATCCAACCAACTGTTCCATTTCTGTAGAAATAGACATAACATATCTCAAGTGAACATGATCCAGTTACCTGAAATGTGTTTGTCGAACATTGTTCGAATGTGATCGTAAATGGATTGACCAGCTTCGAATCATAAACCTGATGATTAACGCATAAAAAAAAGAAGAGGATCAGATTATTAATTTGGAGTTAATTTTGTTGAATTTATTCTTGATCTCTCTAGACCAAGCATTTAGGTGCGTAATTAAGATTTGGCGACAAGTTCATTTCTCCTTGGAATCAAGAAATTAATTCTTTTTTGGAGCCTTGCAAAGCCATGAACCGTCACTGTCATTCGTGGAGAAGTGGTCAGCTTGATTGTGGCATTTACAAGATAACATGGCGAACCATATTGGGTATATCATTAAATTCTGATGTATTACTTTCTTTTCTAAAAAATCGAAAATAAAGCAAATTAAGAACAGAAAATATATCTGCTTGCAGAATGATATATCATAAAATTCTGATGTATTAATTTCTTTTCTAAAAAATCGAAAATAAAGCGAAGTAAGAACAGAAAATATATCTGCTTGCAGAAACCTGACTGCCCATTCATATAGAGGCGTATTAAATTATTATGGATGTACAACTGATTTTGTCCTTGATGTTATGACATATTAAAGCTCTATTTAATTATTGGTAGAAGAATCTATTATTATTGAAATTTTTTTATTTTTTTAAGGAAATAAAAATATATTTTCCTGACAAGACAAATTGATACTTTCTCAGTATGTTCATTTTACATTTAATGTTTAGGATAATAAACTGGGGGTGGGGCGGGCGCATCCCACCTTTAAGAGAGGGGAACATGAAAAACAATTTTCTTGCATGGAGAAATTGCCCCAGACATGTAAATATGATCAGAAAAAGTTTTTGTCTGAGTAACAAACGTAGCATAAAAAATCAGTTCTATAAATAAAAGTTACCTGATTGCCAAAAGCATCACCGAAAATAATACTGATCTGATCAGTTGTGTATTTGGGTGATAAGCAGCTTGTCGAGATAACAACCGTGTAAGAACAGCTCCCTACAGTCTTTAGAAAAAAAAATAAAGAAAAATTTCTTAATAAGATACATGGAAATTTAAATATAACTAAAATACTATAAATAACTGTAGTGGGATAATTAATTAGTGAGGAATTGCCTGCTGGATTAAACCGGGACTGAAAGACTGGTGAACATGAGGCTGGAACTTGTTGATCGGTTGATCAGCTTTTGACAGAACAGCAAAAATGAAGGCAAAGGAAAGCAGAAAAGTGCAATGGGCTCTCCTCATTTTTTCTTCAAACAAAGAAGACAGAAAGATAGATAGATGGGGGGTTACAGTACAGAAAGCCTTAGCCTGGTATTTATAAAGAGACTGTAGGTTTTGGTGGAATGGTAGTTGCGCATAAGTGACAAATTACCTTTGGAAAAAAAAAAAAAAACTTTCTTAGCTTGTACGATCATAGAAAGAAATGCAAGATTTTCTTGCACATGAGTTGAACATGGACTATCTGGTTCCCACAGGCAAGGAGTCTTAAGAACCATTTTAATGGAAAAGCTTAAATTGTATTTATATTATTTTTTAATATATTTTTTTAAGTGAAAAGTTTTTTGGATTTGAAACTTGTACAAATCTATATATAATTTTCTAACACACTTTCTCAAATAAAAAGTCATTTGGACTTGAAACTTGCACAAGTTCACATTACCTTATGTTTAATTTTTAATCAAATAAATAGAGATAGTGAGATTCGAACTCATGACCGCTTGGTTATCAAGGCTCTGATACTATGTCAAATAACCATCTCAATATAAAAACTTAAGCTGTTAGGTGAGGTCCCAAGATATATAAAAACTTAAGTTGTTAGGTGAGGTCCCAAGATATGATTTATATTATTCTAAGTTATTGAATTGAAATGGTTTTTTGACATAGTATCGGAGTTTTGATGATCAAATAGTCTCAAGTTCGAGTCTCATCATCCCCATTTATTTAATAAAAATCCTCATTTATTTAATAAAAATTAAGTATAAGATAATGTGAATCTGTATAAATTTTAAACTCAAAGGACTTTCACTTGAGAAGATGTGTTAGAAAATAATATAAATTATATCCTGAAACATTACCTAATAGTTTAAGTTTTTAAATAAGATGGTTTTTTAGCTAGAAATAATAACCTAATAGTGAAGTAGGAACAAAAGGAAAGGAATTCAAGCTAGCAATTCACATTCTAATATTATTGTTTTCCTTTCAGTATTGATTAAATCATGTAAAAATTTTTACATGGTAAATCAATTAATTCTAAAATACTTTTACAGAAACTAATAACAAATATATATATATATATATATATAAACCTCTATCTCAACCAGCATATTTATCTCCCTATAACATGTACTTCTTTTTAAAAAGTTTCAAGTTTCATATTCGAGTCCTTCATCTACAATAAAAAGAAAAACATATTTGAAGAAATATACTTAAAAAAAAAATCTTTCTACTTACGATATAATAACACTTTAAAAAAATTTGGGACAAGAATTGGGCATGGTCTGAATTTAGTTTAGCTGGGTTTAGACGTGGTTAATCATCTTGTAAAGCCTGGTCAAGGCAGCCATGGATGATTTAAACAGAATTTTGGTCAATGAACGACGATACTTTCTTAAGGAAACCATGGCAGAACCGTAGGTTCCTGGCTTCTAGCTACAGTGATTTTGTTTCCCTTTTTTGTTGAATCTAAAAAATGGGAATCATTCCCTCTCTTAATTTTATTTTATTTTCTTTTAACAATATTGATCATTCTTCTTCAACATTTGAAGAGTTTTACTGTTTCACCCTAGCTACCATGATTTTAGAGTTTTTCACTTTGACTAGTTGGTAAAAGCACTTTAAAAGTGCAACATCTTTCACCAAGAAGTCACATAAAAATTATTAGCACTTTAAATGTTGTTATATATATGTGTGTGTAAACACTGAATCAATTTCAATATCTTATCAACTATAAACCATGGATCAAAAACATGTTTGATATATTGTATTAGTGGTTACTTTTTAAGATGTCTTTTATGTTTATTTAAAAGTATATTGAAATATTTTTTTAAAAAAATTATTTTTGACATCAAAATCATTTTAAAAAATTAAAAAAATTTACAATTTACAAAAAAAAAAAACATTTTTCAACAAAAAAAAAAAACTCTGTCTGAGTCTTTGGATTGCTTTTGTTCTCATTGAGCCTCTAAAGCATCAATCAAATACCATATCCTCCCATCTGTTTGTTGTTACTTGTGCAATGAAATGACGCCATTTTAAAAAAATAAATAAAATTACGCTGATTTTTTTAATGAAAGGATTTCGTTGAACAAGAACGGCTAAAACAATAAAACAATTCTATTTACAAAGGTAAAATGACACTTTTTGAAGCGTATTTAATGTTTTTCATTAAGAAATATGGTGTAAGGATAGTGACTTCCTTTTGAATTCAACCTGGTGGTGCACATCTGCAAATCGTCATCCCTGTGATTTGAACATATAGATTACAATTAACTTATCCAAACGTGGCAGTGATTCAAGCACACCCGCCATGGACATGGCTACATATGGTATGAGGATTTGACACAAAGGGAGCTCACCCCTCTCGAGGACGAAGACATTTCTGGTATAGCCGTCCAGGCAATCAACACTTGGCAGGTCTTTAGGCAATCGACAAGAGAGGCATCTTTTATCCAATCACACCATAGCAATTGACATCTCTTACTTAATTTTCCTTGTTCAGTTGCCTGTACAAAAAATCAAAATCAGGGAGATTTTTCCTGCAAGCTTTCCGCCATGGAGATTTTGAGGTTCGTTTAATTAAAATTCTTCGCCTACCGAAGTTTACCAGTCTAAAGAAAAGTTCATAAGGCATTATTACTCCCAACCAACTGAAAAGATATACAGCATCTAAATGTTAAAGATTAATTTCCCGCTTTCTGCTACATTCTAAATGGCATCATGTCAAGTTTGGACCACAGATTGAATAACTCCATGCCAAGAGCCCTGCTACCAGCTCCTGCAACTTCAGCTAATGAATTAATGCACATTATGATTCCCGCTAGCTGGCAGAATTGTCATGAATCTTTTAATTTCGAAATATATAATAAGAATCCCTTAAGAATAACACACGATTTAACAGAGTAACAAAAGAGAGCGCCCTGGTCAATCTTGGACCGCAGATTGAATAACTCCATGCCAAGAAGCCCTGCTACCAGTTCTGCAACTTCAGCTAGTGAATTAATGCACAGTATGATTCCTGTTTGTTGGTGGGATTGGTATTGTTAAGGGATGTGCTCCTTCAATTCTCACGATTTAATTTTCAGATCAAAAGGCAGAGTTTTCATGAATCTTTTAGTTTTAAAATATGTAATAAGAATCCCTTAATTATAATTTCTATTCAAGTAGTTTATGTACCTGCAGATGATTTAACCGAGTAACAAAATAGGGCGCGGGCGCCTAGGTCAATCTTAGAATTACAGAGTCGGTTCTAACATGTTGATGGATTTAATCTCTATGTGCAAAAGATAACCTGACAATGAGAAAAGGAATAAAAACCAGTAGTTTAATTAGAGAATGATCATTGATGTACTCATCTCGAAAGGTAAAACACTTGCTATTGAACAGGTATGCACTACATAGGAGTTCCATCAGTGAAGCCACAAAACTAAGCCATGTTTCCTTGGTGAAGGATCAAGGAAATTTATTAAAGCCAAAATAATAGTAGGAATACATATGATAAGAACATGAGTGGCATTGGTTTCAAAAAGAAGAACAATAGTAGGACTAACTGCTGAGGATTAATACTTGAAATCCCCGTACATATTGGCATGCTTTCTTGATCAAGCCCATCTCTTAGTAAGCTTAACTTTCATGCCATGCTTCATGTGAAGAATAACGGACTGGCTAGGGGGTACAGTATGTTCATCTACCACTTGAACCTGATAATTGTAGATTATAGCAGCTACAACTGCCTTCATTTGAGTGAAAGCCACATCCTTTCCAAGACAAGTCCTAGGTCCTGCATTGAAAGAAAAAAACTTGTAAGATGGCTCATGTTTCATGCCTCCTCTATCTGTAATCCACCTTTCAGGCTTAAATTCGAAGCAATCGTCTCCCCATACTGAACTCATCCTTCCCATTGCATATAAAGAAAACACGATTTTCGTCTTTGGATTGACTTGGTGACCGCTGGGAAGGATGTCTCGTCTTAGAGGGGACTTGAATTCAGAATGAACCGGTGGGTAGAGCCTTAAAGATTCACACAATGCCCCATGTAGATAAACCAGCTTTTTTATCTCTTCTATGTTAAATAGCCTCCGTTTTTCAGCTTCTTTTTCCGGTAGAGTTGTTTTCAGCTCTTCTCTAATCTTGGCGCCTGCTGCTGGATTCTTTGAGACAAGCCAGAAAAACCAAGACAGACATGAACTTACAGTGTCTCGTCCAGCAAGCATGAAATTTACAATGGTGTCTCTTAGAAACTCATCATCTGACTTAAATCCCATATTATAATTTTCACTCATGTATGAAGTTAACAAATCAATACCTTCTCCATCCTCTTGCATTAATCTGTTTCCTTTGCTCAATTCTTCTCTCTTCTTCGATATAATTTCGGCTATTATGCGATCAAGTGTTTCCCGAGCTTTCTTAAGTTTCTTCTCTTTTCCAATTCCTAGCCATCTTTGCAACTTCCAAGTGCTCTCTGGCAAAACATGTCGATAAAATATTGCTTCCATAGCATTATCGATAGCTTTCGAGAAAGCAACTTCTGGTAAATCAATAGAGAGGCATCCGGGGTCAAAGCTGGTCACAATCATGCTTGTAGCATCGAAGGCGAATCTTTGGAACACATCCTGCAAGTCCAGCACTAGGCTTTGTTTACACACGTGCTCAAGGACTGGAATTAGGCCCCTTTCCACCTTATCTTGGATAGTCTTAACCAAGCGTTGGTAGAACAACCGATGATTGACCAACGCTTGAGCAACTTTCCTCTGGTTTTTCCACAAATCCCTGTCGGCATTGAGTATCCCATGTCCCAGAATATCGAATCTTTTATTGAAGTCGGACCCTTTTTCAAAATTGGAAAAATTTGAGCTCATTATGTAGTGTATGTTGGCCGGATCAGCCGTGACCAAAATGTCCATGTCACCAAACCAAGGGCCTTTGAATTGGAAAGTACACTTGCTTTGCTCTAAAACATCTGTGACATGGTCATGAAACCGGTGGACGTGGACAAGGAGGCTAGGCAGCATGCCAACGAGGGGCCAGTTCATTGGAAGGACGTTATTTTTTCTTAAGCAAAAGATAAGGCTGCAGAGAACG